TGATAATCATGTGATTATCACACAATTATCACATTATCGCTTATATCAACACAATTTGGTGTGATATGGGTGTGATAATCATGTGATTATCATACAATTATCATATTATCGCTTATATCAACATGATTTGGTGTGATTTGGGTGTGATATGGGTGTGAAAATCATGTGATTATCACACAATTATCACAAGGATTCTGCTCGGTTGGGTTAACTTAGAAAATCGACTACCGATTTGGTGTGATATGGGTGTGATAATCATGTGATATCACTATCATAACAGTGCACTCAATTTGATCATGGTTTCGATCGGTTAGAATTAGACGATCACACATTCATCACAACGATTACGGAGAAATCCACTAAACGATTTGGTGTGATAATAATGTGATATTACTATTATAACATCATTTGCACACTCAATTTGATCATGGTTTCGATCGGTTAGGGTTAGACAATCACACATTTATCACAACGATTACTCATGGTTTCGATCGGTTAGGGTTAGACAATCACACATTTATCACAACGATTACTCATGGTTTCGATAGGTTATGGTTACACTTGATTGATCATGGTTTCGACAGGTTATGGTTACACAATCACACAATTATCACAAGGGGAGAGAAGAGAGTGGAAACGAACGTGCAGAAAAAAAAAGATAATTATGACTAATTAAACTAAAATAAAAGTTATAAAAATTAATTAATTACATTACTGTCCTTATTAATTTATTTATATTTAATATAAATTAATTTATTAATTAAAAAAGTTTGAGGTTATTAGATTGTTCTCGCATTCTCGTAAATTACAGGGGTTCTCGTTTGAACCTCCACCTATATATATATATATATATATATATATGTGTGTGTGTGTGTGTGTGTGGTTTACTATGCAAGCCATCCATTTCATACAAACTATGCAAACTACATCAACCAATGATTGTCATTTGACTTTATAATAGACAACTTTGATAATGTTTTAATTGTGTCTAAATCTAGAAAATTATATAGATTAGAGGTTTTTTAGGAAACGATCAATCTTGTTTTTAATAGATACTTACTAACATTAATATTTTGTCATGTTTAGAGGTCGGTACCTTGGCAGCCGTTAGCAACTTTGTGATTAAACCTGAAAAAATCAAATGACTACTAGCACGTATCGTGGTGGCCTGGAAAAGGGGAGACATCGTGGTCGGAGTGTGGAGAGGAACAGTAGCGGTAGCGTTGGCGTTGAAGGAGCCAGCCGCTGTAGAGGACGGTGCAGTCGAAGAGACTGCCAGTTCACCGGCGGGAAGGTCTTCACCGGATGTTACGGTGGTGTTTTGCCGACGACGAAAGGAGTGACGAGACGGAGTCAGGTGAGGGTTCCATACCGGCTACTTTGGGCGTGCCATGGATGCGATGAGAGGAGGTGAAAGGGAGGGAGTGGTAGGTTTCTTGGAACAAATGATTTTCTCAAAAGTGATTTGAAAGTGATGTGAATCACTTTTTTACTTTTTAATTGAAAACTAACATTTTCTTTGAGAACACCTTGAAAACTTCCAAAAAAAACCGGTCACCCAAGGATTAATGGTCAAAAGTGGTTTACACGGGAGTTAAAAACCACTACCCCGCTCCTCTTTTGATTAAGGAAATGCAAAGCAAAAGATTTTTCATCATTGTCCAAAAATCACCTTCTTCAAAAATACCCTCTTTTCAGCCTTTTCTAATTAATTGGTTAAAACAAAGAACCAGTAAGCTGCGATTTTTCCCCTAAAAACGAAAGACCAAGATAGTGGACACAAATTTCCCATTGTCTAACCAAAACCGTAAATATTGGGTTGGATCAGTCATTCCTTCTGGGAGGAAATGTTTGATCTGATGTCCATTAAATTTGAAAACACTGTCATCACAGGGATTTAAAAGATCTATCGTTCCAAATTTCCCTACACTGGCAATTGTGAATGGTCCGGACCATCTTGATTTAAGCTTTCTCGGGAAAAGCCTTATTCGAAAATTAAAAAGGAGGATCTTCTGATCGTTTTCAGAAGTGCGATGATTAATCCTACGATCATATCTTGCTTATGTTTTATCTTTGTATAATTTGGCATTTTCGTAAGCGTGATATCGTCATTGTTCCAACTCATTCAGTTGAAATTTTCTTTTCTTTCCCTTAGAATTTCATCTAATTCAAATTCTTTAATCACCCAAAAAGCTTTGTACTCTGATTCTAGCAGGAGGTGGCATGTTTTACTAAAAACCAATTGGTACGAAGACATTTTCAAAGGGGTCTTAAAGGCGGTTCAATATGCCCACAATGCATCATTCAACTTGAATGATCAATCCTTACGATTAGGTTTTACGACTTTCTCTAAAATGTTTTTAATTTCACGATTAGATAGTTCGGCGAGACCATTTGTTTGCAAATGGTAAGCCGTAGCAACTCGATGTTAGATGTTGTTTTTGCTAAGAACGGTAGCTAACATTTGATTTATAAAATGTGTCCCTTCATCATTTATTAAGGCTCAGGGCGTTCCGAAACGAACAAAAACATTTTTATGCAAAAAGTCAATTACCATTTTCGTGTCATTCTTTGGCCATGTCTTAGCCTCTGTCCACTTTGAAACATAACCAACCGCAACCAAGATATATTGATTATTAAAAGACATAGGAAACAATCCCATGAAATCGATGCCCCATACATCAAAAAGTTCAACTTCAAGAATATTGTTTATTTCATTTCATTAGGACAAGTTTTCCATTCTTTGACGTTAATCACATCTCATTACAAAATCAAATCATTCCTTACAGATTAAATCCACTCAAATCATGCATGATGTAGATGACATAACATTTTTTACAATGAATGTGATTGCCGAACATGACTCGATGTTTTCATTATTTCTATACATCAATTTTTTCAACTTTATAATTGATATAAAAGATAAAATAATGCATGAGACTGTTGATAAAAATAATAAATTGTATAACGACCATTATTTGTTCATAATTTATCGATCTATCTCCTATTTATATCGTGCAAGCACGGTTATGTTAGAAACCAGATGGCCTAATTAAATACGATAAATTACAAGACGACCCTCAAAACTTATTTTAGGCTTCGAAGTTAACTCGGAAGAATTAATTACTACGGTCCTCGTGATTCAACCTGTCAAACAAAGTAATCAAACGTAAGTTTTGCCATTTGATTCATAGCCAAAAAACACGAAACCCTAACAAAAGTTTTGTGAAAAAAATAGTGGTTGATATCGAACTCGATGTTCATTTAGCCAATCTGAGTTATATACCTGAAGTTCAAGTTTTATAAGCTTGCTTATGGGCTCGAAACCGATTAACTCGTTTATCGGCACAAACTCGACAATTTGCATATTTTGATTATATGATTTATGAATGTATGAATAGGTGTACCTTAAAAAAGTGTATGCTCGAATTACTAGGTTTGACTCAACTCGACTTGAAAATGTTAATCGAGCTTCGCACGAGTCGAATCAAGCTCCATAACATCAATCGTCTAGAAACTAAGTAATCTGTAATAAATAAGTTTAAATTAAAATGAAGATATATAAACTCTACATCACATTATTTTCTTCAAAATAAATGATTAAAAAAATACTTTTAAGTTTAATATGTAAAATCAATACACCGTTTAAGGGTTGTTTGTTTACCTCTTAATAGTTTCATTAAAAGACAACATCTGAATTATTAAGAGGTGAATTTTGTTTGTCAAAAAAAAAAATATGCCTCTTAATGGTTCTAAAAACCTCTGAATGATTTTGTATCTCAAGTCTTCCTTAACTATTAAGCGCACTGATTTCATTGTAAACAATTACCAAACAATTATATTTCATTTTGCACTCTATAATGAAGACCTCTTAATCATTCTGACTACTCAATCATTCTACACCAAATCATTCAGCAACTGTCAAACAACCCCGTATATAAAAAAGAGTAAGAATAAATTACGCTTCTAGTCCTTATGGTTTGTTGAAAATTTCTATTTTCACCCTTATTATTTTAAAATTACAATTTTCATCCCTATAGTTTATAAGTTATTAGATTTTTCGTCTTTATAATTTAGAATTTATTACGTTATTCGTCCCTATGGTTTATGATTCATTTCTATTTTAATTCTTCATATTTAAAAGTAGTGTTTTAGCCTCAGAGACGAAAATAGAAATAAAAATCATATGGACTAAAATCAAAATTTCCAAACCACAGGGACAAGGACAAAAAATGTAATTTACTCAAAAAACTAATACTGTATTTATTTTGTGTCGTATCGTAACCATACAAAAAATATAAAAAACTCAAAACACATTTTTCAGATGTTTTTCGATAAAAGATTTATACAGTAGGTATCGATAGTTTTCATTGTTTTTCAAATATCGTCAATAAATAATGCAAATAAAAACAAAACCAAAATCATTCATATTATATTGTCTTTAGCTAACACCAAAATCGGCCAAACGTTTAAGTTCCCTACCATTATCATAAACTCGATAAATGTAACAGTTTTAGCTTAGCATACATTACTTGTGACCAGTATCAGTATTATTGTGATTAGGTCGATATTTATGTTAAAAAAAGGACATATTCTTTCCACTTGTCCTAAACAACCAAACTTCGGTCGGGGTGGGTGGGATGTTGGGACGGGCCTACAACCTTCGGATAAGAATCAGATGAACCAGATAAAATCATATTAGATGTATGATTGGTTTCGTGCAAGCCCATGTTCCTTTTTGTGTCGGGTTTTTAGGCTTGTATATTAGCGTCATTTTACGTATTAGTTTCGAAAATCGTGGGTAGTCCAAGTCAACTTGTTTGTATCTCGACCGACTCTATAGCATCCTGAAATTAACAATCAGACAAATTCTCCATGACCCTGAGGGGACTTGAACCGACGACGTCTAAGGTGCAAAAATTCAAGATTTTGTAACATATCTATCACTAGAAGTCATGATTTTGTTTGCTCTTGCTAAATCCGGTATTCGATCCTGTAAAGTTCGAGTTAGAAACCAATAACGTTACCATTGCTCTAATGCTCGCGGCTATCGGTCTGTCAAACACGTGACACCGCAAAAATGACTAAAATACCCCTACACAACTACAAGAAGCTCGTGATCCTCGCAAAAACAGAGGTGAAAGTTTGATATTTCGCAAAAACAGAAAGTTTGATTTGCTGTGTAAGACCATTCCCAAAATACCCTTTACCAAAGGGTTACATCGGCTGCGAAAGGTCATTAGTACCCTTGCTTTTGATCTGCATAGCTTCTGCTCTCATTTACGTTCGAGTTCATAGCAAAGACTTCCGGTGCAATATCCCACCGTGAGTTTCTGTCAGAATTTGCGGTTGGAGTATGTGTACCCGACCCTAAAGCGGAATCGATTTCTAAAGAGTTACGATCATGGGATTCAACATCTTTGATATTGTGACGCTGAGAAATCTTTAATAGGTCTCCGCCTATATCCATATCGTCTTCGACCTTCATGCGTCGGTCCTCCGGGCACGAGTCGGCACCAGATTCCTGAGTCGATCCACCAGGCCCAAGTTGGACTTCTTGCATAGGAGCTCGGAACTTGTTTCTTGATGGCTTTATCTTTGAGCAGAATACTTCTCCAAAATTTCCCGCACAACCTCGATCATAAACATTCAACCAGTTGTCCGCTCGGTACCGGAAATTCTCGTAGGTAGTCTGAAATGCACAAAAAGAAAGGGTCATGATCTTATAATTGCAACTTCAAAGTTCAAACATAATTTGATTTGATTAACATTTGAAGAAATTACGGTAGCTGTGTTATAAGTAATCAACAAATCTACCGAATACAAAAGTTTCGAGGCTAAAAAGCGACAAGAAATCATACTAATTCTAAGTTTAAAAATAGTATGTTTGACTCTCAAAAGTCAAAAGCAGACTCGAATATACTGACCTGGTTCGAACTGATGAGGTAGAGATGAAACCCCGTGAGGCCACCGACGAACCACAGTGTGATAAAACAATAAGCCATCAACACCACCGATGACGGAGATTCTTGAATCCCCTCCCAAACCGTGCACTCGTGATCCCTCATCAAAATCTTGATGTACAAACCCGACATAGAAAGTACATAGATACAAAGAAGTGTCGAAGAGGAAACGAATAAAAAGAAGAATCGATAATTACGCTGCACAAAAAGAGAACAATCAAAGCTCGGTATTAGAGTTGGATTGATCGTCCCAAAATAAATGTTCACAATTCTAGTATAGTTTCTCCAAAACAATGTCCAATTTCCGATTTCCGATTTTACCCTTGATCATGAGATTGGGAAATTCGTTGCTCCCTCTTTATCAAGGGTAAAATTGTCGTGGAGTTAAAAGTATAATAATTACACATTACTAAAACTATTTGTTATAGTTATAAAATAAATGTCTACTTTCAAGAGTAACTATCTTCTTTCCAGTTATACCCTAAATGATGAAATTGAGAAATTCATTACCGCCTCCATTATAAAGGGTAAAATAGCCATTTACTTAATTAAAAAATGTAATAATTATGAATTTCTGAAACTCAGGGCATTTTTTATTTTCAACATATATTTTGGGACTGAGGGAGTAGAACAGTAAAGCAAAGGCATACCAGACCGATGCATTGGCCGACCCATGGACAATGGTGATCGAACCGCTCGACACAATTGTTACAAATGGAACAATGAGAGCAACGAGGAGGTCGAAAAAGCATGCACGTTTCGCAGTACTTGACTCGGACCGATACTCCGTTGACTATAACTTCTTTTGTTCGAGGAAACTGTATGCGCGGAGTCTGTCTTCCAGCGGCTTCATGTGATATTGAAGTGCCATATCGGAATTCTTCATCGGGCAGATGCGTGTTACGAGGGATGATTCCGGGATCCCGGGCTGAAGTAAGAAGAAGAAGTACCAATACCTATCAAAATTAACTAAAGAATCATCATGAACTACAACATAAACTACCACGAAAGAATGATTCAAATGTCCAAAATACACTTCGTTAGTTACAAAAAAGAAGGAACTTTGTTAACGAAAATCGATATCATTAGTGTCAAGTAAATATGAAAATGGGTAAATAGGTCATTTTAGCTTATGATACAGTTGTAACTGCTCCCAAATCTTATTTGTTAACAGTTATAGTTATAACCACCCGTAACCGTCGATCTCTCATATAAATACATAATGGAGAGTCTAGGTGTATATAAGGACTTGATCTCAAAGCTTTTGACATAAGAGTCTCTTGGATTATCCTGTTACGAATCCTCCTAAATTGGATGTTTTACCCAAGCCGAAAGTTTTGAAAGTATATGCAAGACGATCCAAGAAAGGATAAGGTTTAGTTTACCTTGTTTTGGGAATATGTCTAATAAATAGGGGGAATACCTTTAAGTTGTAGGCATTCGGTTATTTTTTCTAAATAGTTACGTGTGGCTCATAGCTCCTCGCTTTGAGAGGGGGAAATTTCCTTGGTTCAGTGATCATCTCTGTTTTGGTAAATTTCTGTTTTTAATTGCAATCAAACCTTCGTTTCTATCCGTCTTCTACTTTTTCTGTTCTTCTCATATTTGAATTCGTATCGATTGGATAGTCGGTGTTGGCTAAGGATGTTGAACAAATGTTGTGTCCTTCTTTGATCAGTGTTTCCAAATCTCATTCTCGTTAACAGAACATGGGAAGTGGTTTTGGATCGAATTTTGGTTCCGATCTGAAGTTGCCCTTGGGCCGATCTGATGCTAAAGGATATGTTAGTTCAGGGCCTAATGACAAAGGCCCAATTCCTCGGTTTAATCCTAGTCGATCAGTACCTAATCCATCGATTTCATCTACACAACCTATTTCGACCACATTCTCTGATCAGATATCAACAGTAAATCGCAACAGAAGGTTTCGATCTCTTTCTCGTACTGAATGGGAGGATCGCCGCAAGAAGGGATTATGTTTTCGCTGCGGTCAAACCTTTGGTCCAGCTCACAAATGCCTAGAGGGTAAATTGCGAGTTCTATTGTTGGCTGATGATGAAATTGCCGATGATAGTGGGGAAATCAGGGCGATGGAGGTATTGGAGGATGATTTGGGAGACGAAGTGAAACCACCGACGATAGGGTCGTGTACGGTATTGGGGTATCAAGGCACTTTAGTGACAGGCGGAATCGGGAGGTAAAACTTTGAAGATCGAAGGTGCTATTTCGGGAATACCGGTTGTAATTTTGGTGGATAGTGGGGCAACACATAATTTTGTATCCCGTAAATTGGTCACGACATTGGGAATAACGTCTCAATTTTTCTCGGGTATCAACATTACTTTGGGAGACGGACATATGATTCTTGTGAATCAACGTTGTTCGGAATTGCAGGTTTTGATTAGCGGCTGTGAGTTTGTGGTGGATGTTTTGCTTTTTGAAATGGAACAGTTGGATTTAGTCTTGGGTATGGAGTGGCTAAAAACATTGGGAGAAGTGGTACACAATTGGAAAACTCGGTGTGTATCCAGGGGTTATCTGATTCGGAGGTTAAGCAAACTTATCTTCACACTTGGTTGAAGTTAGAGGAACCTCATAAGAGGTTATTGGATGGTGCACATGTTGGGGAGTCAAGTAAACAGAACGACACACTATCTCAGGAGCAGCAATCTGACTTACAATGCCTATTAGAGCAGTTTGCGGCTGTTTTTCGGGACCCCACTGGTCTTCCTCCTATTCGCTCATATGATCATGGAATTTCACTAGTGTCTCCTACGTCTTCGATTTGTGTTCGGCCATATCGGTACCCGCATATTCAGAAGGCAGAGATTGAACGACATGTTAAAGAACTTTTTATTAGCTGTAAATTAGCTAGCTGTAAATTAGCTGTTTCTGAGTTTAGCCTCATCTATTTTAGGATGTTTATTATGTCATTGATCACCCCTAAATGAGTGGAGATCATTTCCTAATTTGTAGCCTCTCAGTTGTATATATATTCNCATTGATCACCCCTAAATGAGTGGAGATCATTTCCTAATTTGTAGCCTCTCAGTTGTATATATATTCAGCTGATGTATATAGAAGATAATCGAAAGGAAAACACGATTACTTTCATGGTATCAGAGCTAGACTCGATACCCTAGCTCTTGCTCTCTTATCATCAGAGATCAAACCACGGTTTGATTTCATCCCTGCTGTCCTCTTCCTGCTACCATCTTCCTTTCACCCATGAATACTAAGCCTGAAAACRCTCCTAAGGCCCTTCACCCTGTCTACACCATGACCAATATCCAACACAAGGTCCGGGTGCTTGACGGCACGAAGGTCTCTTACTCCTCGTGGGTCAAGCTGTTTCAACTTCATGCCAAGGGATACAAAGTCATGTCACACATTGACGGGACACCGCCTCCGGCCAAGGCTGATGCARAATACGAAGCATGGACTGAAATTGATGCAATTGTATTGCAATGGATTTACGGGACATTATCCGATGATTTGCTGGTTCGTGTTTTGGTAACCGAGTCGACCGCTCACGAGGCTTGGTGTCGAATCAAAGCCATCTTCCTCAATAACAAGGGCTCTAGGGCAGCAGCCCTTGAGCATGAATTCAATAACCTGACTTTAAAATCCATGCCGTCGCTTGAAGCCGATTGCCAAAAACTCAAAGAATTGGGCAGCCAACTCAACGACGTGGATTGTCCGGTTAATGATCAAAGATTTGTTCTTCAGCTTGTTAGAGGACTCCCGACGGAATACGATACCGTGGCCTCGTATATCAATCAAAGTCTTCCCACGTGGGAGACTGCATGTAGTATGCTCGAATTGGAGCATCATCGACAGACTGCCCGGGAAGCCATGACTACACCAACTGCCATGGCTGCCGTATCCGCAGAACCTCGGCCCGATCCTTCCAATCCTGTCAACAGAAGACGCCCCAACAACAGGCCCGGACATATCCGGGCCAATAACTCCTCCAGCGGATCCTCCTCAACAGCCACTAGGCGTGGTTCCGGCCGGCCTCAATCAGCCCATGCGCCGTGGAACACTCAGCCCACTCGGCTGCCCAATTGGGCCTATTGGAGCCCTCCGCCATGCCCGTATCCCACCAACCCGGGATGGGCCTCCCCATGGGGTAGATCTCCTATGCTAGCCTGGCCCGCGCCTCCTGGCCCACCTGCACATCACAGGTCCGGCCCAAGACCTTCTGGCCCAACGGCGAACCAAGCCAATCTATCTACCTTTGATCSTCTCGAGCCAACTMAGCTTGGTGAAGYACTTCAAACGATGACCATGGACCCSGTTGATGATCAATGGTACATGGACTCAGGTGCAACTGACCATCTCACGGGTGACCAAGGTAAGATTTCTACACCCTCGTTAAATTGTCCCATTGGCTCGATATTTGTTGGTAATGGTGCTTCTGCGCCAATTCGTGGATCGGGTTCCTCCATCATTCCCACGCCCACACGTAACCTTCACCTAAACAACATTCTTTACACTCCCAACATCATTAAGAACCTCATTTCCGTTCGTAAATTTTCTGTTGATAATAATGTGTCCATTGAATTTGATCCTAATGGGTTTTCTGTGAAGGATTACCAGAGTGGTCAGATGTTGTCCCGCCACAATAGCTCCAGTCGTCTTTATCCTCTCTCGTATCCGGTCACCAACGCCACCTTTTTCACCTCCAGTGCTCGAGATTTTTGGCATGATCGCTTGGGACATCCCGGTGCTCCTGTCTTAGATGTTCTTAGTTCGAATAACATTATTCCATGTTCTAAACGTAGTAAATCTTTTGTTTGCAATTCTTGTCAACTTTCAAAGCACAAACATTATCGTTTTCTGATTCTACGTCTATTACTATTTTACCCTTTAATATTGTGCATTGCGACTTATGGACATCTCCTATCCCCAGCAAAGCAGGTTATAAATACTACATGGTTTTAATTGACGATTTCATGCAATATACTTGGGTTTTTCCGCTCAAATTCAAGTCTGAAACTTTTTCCAAATTTTCTCAGTTTCATAAATACATCCACACCCAATTCATTCTCAAAATTAAAGCTTTCCAATGTGACTTAAGGGGTGAATTCGATAACCAAAATTTCAAATCTTTTGCTGAAACAAACGGTCTTCATTTCCGTTTCTCTTGCCCTCACACTTCCCAACAGAATGGGAAATCTGAACGTATGATTCGTAGACTTAACGAGATCATGCTCACCCTTCTCACACACGCATCACTCCCACCCCATTTCTGGGTTGAAGCCTTACATACCGCGTGTTATCTCCACAACATTCTCCCCACCAAACTCTTAAAATTCATCACCCCTTTGACTGCCCTCTATCATCGACACCCCTCCTATGATCACCTTCGGGTTTTCGGGTGTGCCTGTTATCCTAACACGACTGCGACTCGGAAACACAAGTTGGAACATCGCTCCACTCGTTGTGTTTTCCTTGGATACCCCGCCAACTTTCGTGGTTATCGATGCCTTGACCTCTCTTCTGGCAAGATCCTCCTCTCTCGTCACATCATTTTCGACGAGACCTCTTTCCTTTTTTTAATAAACATCCCACTACTCCATCTGACTACTCCTTCCTCGAATCTGATCCATCTCCTACCATCTTTGACCCAGCAGCCACTTCCCCACCACCTACCAAACACACTTCCCCATCTCCCACTCTCCAACAACCTCCTATCATCCATACCTACCGCCATCGAAATACACAAGTCCCGACAACCTCCTTGCAGCCCTCTTCAACCGCTGCACCACCACCACCGTCACCCCCCTTCACCACCTCCACCGCCGCCGCCACCCGCATCAACCCACCCCATGATCACTCGTTCCCGAGCATCAACTTCTGCCTCTTCTCTTAACCTACATACAGATACACATACTTCACCTTCTCCCATACCAAATTCCCACATCAAAGCCCTTTCCGATCCACACTGGCG